GGGGCTGCGCCCCACCGCCTGGACGCGCCAGCACTCGATGATCTACATCGACAATCCGGCGGGCACCGGCTTCAGCTACACCAATGGCGGCCTGGCACGCAACGAGACCAAAGTGGGCCAGGATCTCTATGCGGCGCTGCTGCAGTTCTTCACGCTGTTCCCCGAGCTGCAGCTGAACGAGTTTTTCGTCAGCGGCGAGTCCTATGCGGGCAAGTACGTGCCAGCCATCGCCCACACCATTCACCAGAACAACGCAGCGGCCGAGCTGCGCATCAACCTGCAAGGCCTGCTGATTGGCGACGGGCTGAGCGACCCCGTGAATATGGTGCGAGGGTACGGCCAGTACCTGTACCAGATCGGCCTGGTGGACGCCAGCACCCGCAACCAGTTCGTGGAGCAGCAGGAGCGCGCCGTCCAGTACATCGAGCAGGAGCAGTACCTGGACGCCTTCCTGGTCTTCGACCTGCTGCTGAATGGCGACTTCACCAGCCCCACGCTGTTCGCGAACGCCACCGGCCCGCTCAGCTACTTCAACTATCTGGATGATCGCGCAGAGGACAACAGCTACGAGGAGTTTCTGCAGAGCGCCGCTGTGCGCCGCGCCATCCACGTGGGCGCACTCAGCTACAACAGCGACGGGGTGGAGGAAGCGCTGCGCGAAGACGTGATGAAGAGCGTGGCGCCGTGGGTGGCCGAGCTGCTCGCCCACTATCGCGTGCTGTTCTTCAACGGCCAGCTGGACATCATTGTCGCCTACCCATTGACGGTCAGCTTCCTGCAACAGTTGCAGTTCGAGGGCGCCGACGAGTACGGGACTGCGCCCAGGTACCAGTGGCTGGTGGGCGGCGCTGTTGCCGGCTATGTGAAGCAGGCGGGCAACCTTACGGAGGTGCTGGTGCGCAATGCTGGCCACATGGTGCCGGCCGATCAGCCCCAATGGGCCTACGACCTGCTCTATCGCTTTGTGCGCAACATTTCCCTCAACTAGCGCTGTTGTAATTTAATTTGAATTAGTTGCATCCACTTAGCTGGTAGGAACCCAACATAGTTTCAATTCGCGGCAATAGTTGCTCAGTCCAGTCCTGTGCGCCTGCAGCGGCACGTCAAGTGCAGACAAACGTCCAACGCGGTCAGCGTGTGCCAGACAAAGACGGCACTAGGCGGGCAGTGCCTGGCTTTTGACGCGGGCCGACAGGGCCGGCTTCGCTTGAATACTTTGGCTTCAGCCTGGGTCT